TAAATAAATAAGAAAAATCAATCAAATATATAAAAAAAATGAAATAAAATTAATAAATGTATCTGAATTTAAAAGAAAAAAAAGACTGCTGAGCAATGGAGGCTGCACCTTCTGTCGAGGTCACACACACACACACACACACACTGTGGCCAAACCAGCTCTGTGAGGGCAGGGAAGGTAAGCAGCTGTGTGGCTGGGTCGCGTCAGGCCTGGGTGAGACAAGGATACAGCCCTGTTGTAATTCTTGGCCTGCCTCCTTCCATAAAGCTAAGTAAACATACCTCAAAGATTACTCTAATCTGATTTCCAACCCATACTCCCAGCTGTGGCGGTTGAGTACCATCTTTTATTGCTTCTCTGAGGCACACTTCTTTCACATGTTTAACGTTTCTGAAATTGGGAGGGCAGCCCTGGGCACCAAAGGGTCTTGGGTTTGATACCCGATTAAGGGCATATACCTGGTTTTCAGGTTCAATCTCTGGTCCTGGTCGAGGTATGTGTGGGAGGCAACCAACCCATCTCTCTCCTCCTCCTCCTCCTCCTTCTTCCTCCTCCTTCCACTCAAGCAATGGAAAAAATATCCTCAGGTGAGGATTAACAAAAACAAACAAACAAAAAAGAATTTTATTTTAGTGCAGGGTGTGCAGAAAGCAGTCAATCCATGAGGCTCCTCTCTCATTGATCTTTCTATCTCTCTATCCCTCTCCCTTCCTCCCTCTCAAAAAAAATCAATAAAAACATACTTTAAAAAAAATCAATGGGGAAAAATAATCTCTGGTGAGGATTAACAACAACAACAACAAAAACCTAAAAAGTAATAACAATGCGAGGGCATATTACAGATGATAGTGTCAGCATAATGTCATAATTTATTGTCACCCCCCTTTTTAAAAAATTCTCATCCAAGGATATTTTTTCCATTGCTTTTTAGGGAAGTGGGAGGGAGGGAGGGATGGAGGGAGAGAGAGAAAGAGAGAAACATTGATGTGAGAGAGACACAGCAATTGGTTGCCAGGGATTGGGAACCGAATCTGCAACCCAGATATGTGCTCTTGACTGGGGACTGAACCAGAGATTCTCTGGTGCTTGGGGGCTGACGCTCTAGCCACTGAGCTACCACCCAGGGCAATCAGCACCCATCTTTTCTTTCTTACTGGTATCCTCCTATATAATAAAAGGCTAATATGCAAATCAAAAAAAAAGGCAGAATGACTGGTTGCTATGAGGTGCACTGACCACCAGGGGGCACACACTCAACGCAGGAGCTGGCCCCTGGTGGTCAGTGCACTCCCATAGGGGGAGTGTTGCTCAGCCAGAAGCTCTGAGTCTGGCTCACAGCTGGTGAGTGCTCACAGCAGCGCTAAGGATGGCTTATGGGCCTAAGCCGTCAGTCGGACATCCCCCGAGCGCTCCAGGACTGTGAGATGGCACAGACTGGGCTGAGGGACACCCACCCCCCGCCAGTGCACCAGGCCTCTAGTATGAAATAATAAAGCAAATACAATCCACGGCATGATGGCAACAAAGGG